GCTGAGTCGATCTAGACATGTGTGTCCGTCCGTCCGTCTGTCCATTATAATTTGTAAACACGATACAGGCCACAGTTATGGACCAATCTTCACGAAATTTTGCATGTAGGATGGGTTCTGGCCAATGAAGACCCCTATTGTTTTTGGGAAAGATCGGTTAATATTTAGGGGATGAAATGGACCAAATACTAAATTTTTGTCGGTTTTTCTGGTCGCTCCAGAGGCCGCAATTATGGCGCAAACATCATGAAATTTTACATGGAGAAGGGGATCGGGCCAAAGAATAAGCATGCCTGTTTTGATAAGGATCGGTCAATATTTAGCGGGTCAAATGGACCCCGACTTTTGTGTGAAAAATTACAAATTTTGTATTCTATTACCTATATATTTACCCCTGAAGGACATAGACCCGAGAAGTTGATTGTATATTCAAGAGGAGTGGTTGACCTTTAAATTGATACCAATTATATGGTCGTACGTACTCAGATGTGGGAGTTACACTTAAATATTTACAGGTGCTTACGTACTGAGATATTATTTAGTAACCCATTACCACACTAGAGGGCGGAAATATGGCGCTGGTCGCTCTGAATTTTTCCAGTTGTGGTCAAGGACAACACCTAGTATTTTCGGCGATGATCAGATAATAATTTTGGGATGTAGTGGACTGAAGACTTATTTTTTGTGTTTTTTTCGAGTCGATCTATAGGCCATAATTATAAGCCGAGCATCACAACACAACCCACGGTAAAGGGAATCTGGACAAGTAATTAGGAGGGATGTATTGAATATTATTAATATTCAGTGTAAGGTGGAGGTGCTGTTGACCTCTAATCGGGCAAGAGGGTGCAAATATCACGAAATATTGCCCAGGCTCAAAATAAACATCCGCAGAAAGTTAGAGTTCCGTGGAAGTTGTGTAGGGTATCATATGGTCGGCCCCGTCCGACTATACTGCTCCGCTCACTGGTTTTGTAATTTTTTTGGAACAATTTCTAAAAAATTTTTGTTATACCCCACTTTAATGTTCACAATTTTAATACAACTACCACTTCTTAGATTCTTGTTTTTTGTTGTTGTTGTTATTATTATTTATTTCAACTAAAACTTGATGCCATTTAAATTTTTCTTGTTATTACCACCATCACACACTTTACAAGATTAAGAACTTGGATTTGGTTACAAGGTCATGTAATAAATTTTATTATTTATGTACATATATGTGTATTTATGTACATATGTGTATTTAGGTTCATATGTATGCGTATGAATGAATATACACATTGATGTGGGGGTATCTGGTAAAAAAGTGCGATTTAAACACGTTCGATAAAACAAAAATAAAAACGAGAGACAATATTTAATATTTTTTGCAACCAGAAATTTCGATGTAAATTTAAAAAAAGTAAATGTATATTAGGGTGGACATAGATACAATTCAGTAAAAAACGTATAATTTTTGTTGGGGAGATTTTCCAACCCAATGAGAATCAAAAATATCAAATTACAATCAATTCGATAGAAAAACTTACTCAAACTCCCCAAAATATCAGAATCTGGGACCTACTGTTATCTGAGGGCTACCCTTAATAGTGGACCAATATTGATAATTTTTGGTAGGGAGATTTTTCACGCCATAAGAACCCAATATACCAAATTACAATCAATTTGGATGAAAAAGTGCTGAAAATCCTCAAAATATCGAAATTTCGGAGGTACCTTCTTTATATGGGGGCTACCCTAAAAAGTGGACCAATATTGATAATTTTTGGTGGGAAGATTTGCTGTCCAATAAGAACCCAAAATACCAAATTACAAACAATTCTCTTGAAAAATGTATCCAAACTCCCCCAAAATATCGAAATCTGGGACCTAACGTTATATGAGGGCTAACCTAAATAGTGGACCAATATTGATAATTTTTGGTAGGGAGATTTTTCAAGCAATGAGAACCCAATATACCAAATTACAATCAATTTTTGTTGAAAAAGTTGCTGAAAATCCTCAAAATATCGAGGAGCGTTAATTATATGGGGGCTATCCTAAAAAGTGGACCAATATTAATAATTTTTGGTGGGTTGATTTTACATCCAATGAGAACCCAAAATACCAAATTACAAACAATTCTCTTAAAAAATGTATCCAAACTCCTAAAAATATCAATATTTCGGAGGTACCTTTATATGAGAGCTACCCTAAAAAGTGGACAAATATTGATAATTTTTGTTGGGGATATTCTCTACACAGTGAGAACCCAGAATTTCAAATTACAGCCAATTCGGTTGAAAAATGTGCCCAAACTCCTAAAAATATCAATATTTCGGAGGTACCTTTATATGAGAGCTACCCTAAAAAGTGGACAAATATTGATAATTTTTGTTGGGGATATTCTCTACACAGTGAGAACCCAGAATTTCAAATTACAGCCAATTCGGTTGAAAAATGTGCCCAAACTCCTAAAAATATCGAAATTTCGGGGGTACCTTTATATGAGAGCTACCCTAAAAAGTGGACAAATATTGATAATTTTTGTTGGGGATATTCTCTACACAGTGAGAACCCAGAATTTCAAATTACAGCCAATTCGGTTGAAAAATGTGCTCAAACTCCCACAATATCGAAGTTTCGGAGGCACCATTATATGGGGGCTAACCTAAAAGGTGGATCAATGTTGATGATTTTTAGTGGGGATATTATCCACCCAATGAGAACCCAAAATACCAAATTACACTCACTTCGGTTGAAAATTTTGCCCAATACCGAAAAATATCGAAATTTGGGAGGTTCGATTATATGGGGGCTACCATAAAAAGTGGATCAATGTTTATAATTTTTGGTGGGGATATTCTCTACCCAGTAAGAACCCAGAATATCAAATTACAGCCAATTCGCTTCAAAAATGTGCCCAACCCCCAAAAATATCGAAATTTAGGAGGTTCGCTTATGTGGGAGCTACCCTAAAAAGTGGATCAATGTTTTTAATTTTTGGTGGGGATATTCTCTACCCAATGAGAACCTAAAATAACAAATTACAGCTAATTCGCTTGAAAAATGTACCCAAACTCCTCAAAATATCGAAATTTTGGAGGTCCACTAAAAAGTGGACCCATATTGACAATATTTCGTGGAGAGATTTCCTTTCTAATGAAAACCCAAAATAGCAAATTACAGTAAATTCGGTTGAAAAATGTGATTAAAATCTTTAAAATACCCATTATTTGGGGGTACCGGAGCTATACCAAAAGCTTGACCGATAAATCTCATTTTCATTATCAAGCATGCTAGGAGTAATAGCAATATGTGTGCAAAATTTCAGCTGGAATATTGAGAGCTCTATCGTGGTAAATGAAATAAATAAAAAAAAACGGAATTCAGATTTTCTCGTAGACGCCCAGAAGGCCAAGGAAGGCAAGATGATATTCTGTCATATTAGACCAGTATGTCTTCTTGTGGAGTTTCTTTTCATTAGAAGACCAGATGGTTTGCTCAAGGAAGAAAAGAAGGTCTTTTCTTAGAAGGTTAGAGAGTCTACTCTTAGAAGATTGGAATATCTTCTAATGGAATACCAGCAGGTCTTTTCATAGACGCCCAAAGGTTCTCCTCTTAGAAGACCAGAAGTTCATCTCATGACCAGATCGTCTTCTCTTAGAATACCAAAAGGGTTGTTTTTAGAATACCAGAAGGTCTTTTCGTAGCAGGACAGAAGGTCTTCTCTTAGAAGATTAGAAGGTCTTCTCTTAGAAGATTAGAAGGTATTTTTCTCTTAGAAGACCAGAAGGTCTTCTCATAGCAGACCAAAAGTTCTTCTCCTAAAAGACTAGCATGTCTTAGAAGATTAGAAGTTTTTCTCATAGAAGATCAGATGGTCTTCTCAGAGAAGACACCAAAGTCTTCTGATTGAATATCAGTAGGTCTTCTTATAGAAAAAAGGTCTTCTTAACCTAAAAACCAGTCCATTAGGTCTTCTCATGGAAGTCTACAATATATATTTGTATGGTCTTTCTATAGAAGACCAAAAACCATAGACCATAGAAAACCAAAAATCTGGGTATAGAGTACTCTTACAAAATCAGGAAGTTATTCTTATACTATTATTAAAAGGGCATCCTTATAGAAGTTCAAAAATCCATCTTTTCGAAGGACCCGAAAGACTTTTTTTAACAGACTAGAACTTCTTCATAGGGATGTCAAAATGTCTTCTCATAGGATAGCAAATGGGGCTCTTCCAGATATGTTTTCTCTAGCATGTCGGCAAGTTTTATTATAGAGGTATTCCCATAGAAGTCCCGAAGTTCTACCTCTTATGGAAATCTATAAAAGAAAATTGGAAATGTATTATATACGACGTTCGATATTCGGATTTAATTTTTGTTATATTTCTTACGATTTATGTCCTTAACCGACTTGGCCCACAACAGCTACGGAATCAACAATAATGATAATTCCACCATATAGTCCTCGGAAATTGTGTTCATCGCAGTCCATATTGGGTGATATGTTGCGTAGCAATCCCTTTTGTCTTAGAAATGCAATGCGATGTGCTGATGATATAGGTCGAAACCTATATGGCACAACAGGGTACTTTTCCATTTCGACATTTTTTTTTTTCTTAAGAGGTAACGATATCTCAGATCTTAGGAGAATTCGATATCACAGATTTTCTTATGATACTGAGTAGCGGGACTGCCAAGAGAAGAATATATTCTATAAACCTATAAATATTTTCTTGAAGTCCACAATATATTTTAATAAAAACCCTTAGAAGATATTTTCAAAAAAGATCGGAAGGTCTTCATTTCGATACACTTTTTTTTACAAATCTAAATGTTAACTAACTTATACTACACCCTTTTTAATACCTTTTCTAACACACTAACCTCCAGCTTTATTTTAAATAATTTTTAAAAATATAAACCTTAAACCTAACCTCAATTTATTTTTTCAACCCCTCCCCTCTTTTTTTGTTTTTTTTTTCCTTTTTCATGTCCGTGCCCGTGCAGCTTAAAATCCATACCGCCCAATCTAATGGTCAGATGGCGTAACAATACCGATGCTATGATCGAAGCCCAATATCCAACACCCGGAGAATTTGAATATATGGAATGTGGACCATCGCCACCGGCTGAAAGTGCACCCAGTATGTATGATAGTTTCGAAGAACCCACCAGTGAGCTGAGCGTACAAATATGCAATGATACGCTGCGCATTAGCCTCATCGATCAAATGAAAAATGCCGCCGGGCGTATACGCTACTTCGAAGACATCGAACAGGGAAATGTCATTGGGGATAATACAAAGACCCATTTCGAATCTGCCTCACAAATTGAAAAGAATTTATGTTACTTGTGGTCGGCCTTCTTGAAGAGATGGGATCTGTTGCAAAGTCTGCTCGATATTGGGGCGGAATTGAATTTTTGTGATCAAAATGGTATATCGGCATTGCATTTGGGTGCCTTTAGCGGCTGCCTGTCAACATTGAATTTCTTGGTCCAAAAGGGCATGAATGTTAATTTCCAACCGAAATGTTATACCCCGCTGCATTGTGCGGCCTTTGGTAATAGCACCGAGGCAGCGAAATATTTAATCAATAATGGTGCCCAAATATCCATCGATACGACGAAGCCCAATTGCGAGGAAAGTTTGCTGCATTGTGCGGTGCGGGCCAATGCCCTGGAATGCCTGCAGTTGTTTATCAACGAAGGTGCCGATGTGAACAGCCTGAAACCGAATGGTACAAATGCCATACATTTGGCAGCGGATTTGGGTAATGCCCAATGTTTGGAGATATTATTGAGAGCCCCGGGTGCGGATCCCAATGTACGGATTTGTATTCGCGAAAAAGAGTCGACAGCTTTGCATTTGGCCGCTGATGAGGGTAATGTGGAGTGTGTGGATCTGCTGCTGGCCAAGGGGGCCGATGCCAAATTGAAAAATCATCGTGGTTTCACGGCCTTACATTTGGCTGCCCGTACCTCCAGTTTGGAATGTGTTGAGTCTCTGCTGAGAAATGGTAATGCTGATCCGAATGCGGAAGATTTTGATCATCGCACTCCGTTACATGCCGCCATTGGTAAATCGGAAAATGCTTTTGATATTATGGAACTGCTGATACAGTGGGGTGCCAATGTCAATCACAAGGACATCTATGGCTTTACCGCACTGCATTTGGCTGCCCTTGATGGCCTGGCTCCCTGTGTGGAAATGTTGATATATCACGGAGCAGATGTTACCACAAAATCGAAAAAGGGTACCAGTGCCCTGAATGTTATCACACGTAAAACCCCAGCCTCTGTGGCCATGATTCGCCAGAAATTGGATGCTGCCATAACTCTGCATCATTCCCAAGACCCCGTCAATCGTGAAGTGGAATTGGAACTGGATTTCCGCCAACTGCTGCAACATTGCCATCCTCGCGAAATTAGCTATTTGAACACCTTCGTCGACGAGGGCCAAAAGGAGATTTTGGAACATCCGCTGTGCTCCTCGTTCCTCTACATAAAATGGGGTAAAATTAGAAAATATTATATAGGACGTTTGATATTCTGTTTTATTTTCGTGATATTCCTTACGATCTATGTCCTCACTGCCCTGGCCCACAACTGCTACAATGTCAGCAACAATGATAACTCGACCATACAGGCCCAGGAGCTGTGCCAGTCGCAATCCATCCTGGGCGATATGTTGCGTAGTAATCCCTTTGTCAT